CCGCCCTGCCTCTGTTTCGGGCTGCCCCCACTCGCCTGCTGCCCCTCCCAGCCCCCCTCCTCCCCCGCCTCAGCCTAACTTAACTTCTTTTACGAGCACATATTCAAAACTTCCATCTTCTGGCCATACTCACTCTGTCACCATAAATAAACCAGGCCTGAGTCTGAGCTTCAACAGAGTCTTCACTCCAGTGTCCATCGACAAACCACTTCTGTCCAATCACAGGTGGAGATGAACTGAAGGCTGATTAGGCTACTACTACTACTGTACTACTAGTAATACTACACTTGGGGGAAACATACTAATAATACTAGTAATACTACATCTACCACTACTACTGTACTACCAGTAATACTACATCTACCACTACTACTACTGTACTACTAGTAATACTACATCTAATACTACTACTTATACTATTACTACTACTACTGCTACCACTGCTACTAGCAGTATCAGTACTACACCTAGTACTCCTACTACTACTAATACAACTGCTGCTGTTGCTACTACTAATGCTATTACTAGTACTACTGCTACAACAACTACTACTACTACTCCTAACACTCTAATTACTACTACCTCTACTATGACAACTACTAATCCTACTACTTTTCCTACTGCTACTTGGACAACTTGTATTACTTACACCCCTCCTGTGACATATACTGTTTCCTCTACTACTACTACTCCCTCTTCTACCACTCTTATCACTATTACTCCATAACTACTACTCCATAACTACTATGTTCACCTTTAAGATTGTGAAAACTCTTCTTTGTCACTAAGTTTCCAGGAGTTGGATTCATTTTAAACCATTTTTTGTTAAAACTAAGAAGAAAATCTCAATAACCAGGGTCCGTTGTACAGGAGATTTACACAGACCAGAGTACATTTATAGTGGGGGTGAGGGGGGGGTGTTCACCTTTCCTTTGCAGTTTAAGGCTGTACACACACAAATCAAGTCATGAAGTCATAAAAGGTGAGGCACAGTTGGAGTTTAAAGCCAGCCAGCGTGACAGGTGGAATTTGTCGTCTTCTCTGCCCTCAAACACATTTCCATTTTAATATGTAAATCCACGGTTTGGACGACAAATCTTCCACCGTGGTCCATTGATGTGATTGTCATGAGTGTTTTACTAATGCTGTCAGTTGTCTGTTTACCTATGCTTTTATTCATTCATTAATAGAACAATGTGTCCACAAACAGCAGGCTAGGAATATGTTGGAGGAGACGAGGGGGTTTAAAATAGACCTATCTCCATAAAGTGGTGCTGCAGAAGAATTTTGCAAATGGCTGTTAAATAGCATTTGTTCTGTTCTCTTCAGAAGCTGCTACCTTGGGTTTTCACCTTAGAGAGGTTACTCTGCGTCCTCTACAATAATCTTAGCTCTTTTCTGGAGTTTTCCTAATTTCCTCTTGCCTGGCAACACATTCTCTGTACAGATTTTGTCCATATATATATATATTTATATATATCTCACATCCTTCTCGTTCAAGTCCCAGTGAAAGTCTGAGCATCTTCATCTCTGCCGCCTCCAGCTCAGCCTCCTGTCTTTAACGGCACCACTGCCTCCAACTACCTCCTCAAATCAAACTTTTGAGGAGGTCTTATTTCCTGCTTCTCTCCCTCTGTTACTCATCACCCCTGACAATTACCTCCACCCACTCCACCCTTCCTGCACAATCTACTTCCCCTCGTGTGCACTGTCTGTTGCTTTGGATGAATAACTGCAGTGGTTTAAACTCTTACTCTAAGTTTTAATCTCAACTCAGCAAAAAGAAGGAAATGGGACATTAAGAAAGGGATTTTCAGGTCCAGATGTAATTACTTAATGATAAAAAAAAACAGTTTTTTGCTGTAATTGCATCTCTCAATTAAGGGATTAACAGTTATATGGACAATAAATTTTATAATTTAAGTGTAAATATTGGTGTGTGTGTGTGTGTGTGATTCACCTGAGAACAGTCTCTGTCTGCTCTGGCAGCAGTAGATCTGCTTCCTCTCCTGAGGCGTCTGTTCCACACCGTAGGAGGTCAGATTCCTCCTCCTAAACACACACACACACACACACACAAACAAAGCATAGCAGCTTTTACAGTCCAATAACTCACAGGCTTACAGACTAATTAACATCTGAGATAACATCAATATTTAATAATCTACAGTTGCATATTTAACTGTTGTGCTTGGAGACAATGGCGCTGTTAATAGATATTCAATCACTGCACCACGGTGATGCTGAACACCTCCCACTGTCTGCCTCACACTTAGTCCGTATGCAAGGATCTTTAAGCCATTATTGGATTGATGCATGCAGTACCAATGCTAACCACCAGGGGCTAGCTTTCCTAATTCATTAAAGAAACAAACATTGGTGTGTTAGTGAATCAGACTTTTTCTTACTTTTATATGATGTCAATAAATGTGATCCAAACCATTACTAGGATCTTAACTATCAGCATCATGCATCTTCATTTAAACATTTACAATCTGATTTTGTATAAAACAGACGATAAAGCATGGCACATCAGTCCAGTAAGACAGCTGTATCTAACATGGCATTCAAAACCTTAACAGAGTTTGACCTCACCGAATCTGAACTGTGCGTCTCAGTGCTGGCCTGGTGTGGTGAGGAGAGAGGAGCCGGCTGGTTGATGACCACTGTGCTCCTCTCCATCTCCTTTGGGGAGGGAGGAGGGCTGGCCAGGAGCAAGGAGTCAAGCTGGCCCTGCTCACACAGGCTGTAGTGTCCCAGAGGTCGTGGTGAGTGGAGGGTCTGCAGGGCCTCTGGGTTTTCATCTTCAGAGTCTGATAAAACGCTGACCGGTCGACCTGACACTGCCACACAGGGAACAATGGCAAAGAGAAAGTGATCTACACTCCACTGTGGATGACACTGGCCACTCTTATCAATATTTAGTGCTGCTGTTGAATAGTGGTTAACAGGTTTATTGTTCACATCTGCACAGCATACAGTAGATTGATGTGTGTCTCCATTCACCTGCAGAGGAGATCAGGGCAGCGCTCCACTTGGCACCGGTCACCGTGCCCATCTTGTGCTCCAGCTGACAGATGTACTCCATCAGCTCCTGAGGTGTAAAATATAGATGTCACATCACATCACAAACCAGAGCAGGACTTTCATCACGGCCTAAGCAACGCTCCATTTCATAAGCCATCAGGATGTCTGACTACTTTGAGCCAAAAACCATATAAAATGGTTACACGGTAAATACAAAGGCTGACACTTGTACATAAATATCCACACTTTCGGAATAAAAGGCATTTTGATTTAGGTTTCCGGGATTGGCTCTTGTGTATCATTATGGTGTGTGGTAAAACTGAGCTGAAAACCGGTTTTAAAAACATTGATCATCTACTCTGGCAGTGGTGGTGAAACGTGATGGTGGTTAGCCAACAAAAACTCTGCAGGCATTTTAACAGTGGCAGCAGTGACTGCCCTGAAATCCTCTGATTTATATGACACTATAAACAATTTATACTGCACAATAACAGCTAAGAAGACAACAACAGGAAGACCATTTCTCACACCTGCTATATTCATATCACCACTATACTTGTATGCGGTGCATCAATAAGCCGTTAGATATGAATTATATTATTATTACCAAGCTTTTGGCAAAACTATATATATTAACAGGCCACACTAAAGCTTGACAGCGGAATAAATTGTGACTAAACCTGTGCTAAGTTTTAAAGCTGATAAAGAGTGAAGTACTGCTGCTGGGAGCTGATGAGGCTAAGACAGTTGGAAGTTGACTTGATAATCCATACAAGCCATTTATTAACCTGGACACTTGTCAGTTGTCAATGAATAGAGTCCAGAGGATCCGTGTAATCGCATGTGCCCCAAAAGATTGTGGTGAGACAGAAGAAAAATGCCCTTGAACTGTGTTAAAATGTCTCTTAAATCTCTTAATCACCCCATAAGACAGTCTGCAAATGTCCAGTTTTGAAGTATTGCCCACTTCATCCTGGACAGTCTAAACCATTGTAGCACTACAAACTGAATAATCACTCACTTTAAACAAAGAATGACATTTGTTCAAAAACAAAAAACATGAAAGAGCTTGAAAAGAACTAAAACTGTCCAGAGATCAGAAAACTATGACTACAAATGGCAAGAAAGACAATCTTATACCTGTCTAAGTTTAACTAATAAATAAATAATAATCATGATAAAAACTAATAATGAGTCAGAATTATGTTAGCCATCTAAAGTCTAAATAATTAGGTTTTAGGTTTATTTTACTAAATTTAAAGTTACATAAATAAACCAAATGTTTAAACTAAATGTCTGTAATAGCTAAATAAACATGTATTTATAATAATGTCCAAATATTTAATATAAAGGCCAAAGATGAAGCCTGGAACGTAACAGATAGGATTAACTAGAACTAGTCAGAAACTTGCTAAAAATTATAAGCAGCTCAGCAAATACTTAATTTAGCTCAAAGTTACAAAATATTCTGGGCAAAACATACCTTGCAAACACAAAAAAAACCTCATTGTTAGCAAAAGTACATTTCTAAAATTTAAATTTTTGGGTTTTGGTGAGATAACAGATTTGTTTGTTTTTTTCATTTTGGTGTCATTTCAACTGTTTTTCTAACCTTTCTCTCTGTAAGAATCTGCTCCTTCTCTTTTTGGGCGACTCTGAGACAGGCTTTTAGCTCCTGAAGTTCCCTGCGTGTTTCACTCAGCTGCACCTGCAGACAGAATAAGAACATCTGATTAAATCCAGTTAATTAAAAAAAAATCTAAATGTTTATTCTCAGATATAAAGAACTTCTATATTTCATACCCGGTTGCAATCCTTTTCTCTTCCAAGCTCAACCTCCAGCTTCACCCTCTCCATCTTCTCCTCCTGCAGATTCTCCTCCATCTGCTGCAATTCTGCTTTAAGTTCCTCCAGCTTCTCATGGTCCTTCTGTGATGGTGAAACAGACAAGAAGGTTAGTATGGGGTGGAAGATACCAACACACTCTCTGCAGACAGTGAGGTCACAGTTTTAGAATCTCCTCCAAACCCACAAACAACTCTTCAAGGATTACCTCAGCGTTACGCTGCAGGTCCTGCTTCTCCTGGGTCCACTGCACTTTCCCTTCTCTGATGGCAAGACTCATATCTGCGAGTTGGAAGGACTGCTGTGCGGCCAGTGACTGGGCTTGATAGAGCTCACCCTGCATGTGTTTCCTCTGGGCTGCCATGGCACTTAGATCCCTCACCAAGTTCTCTGTAGCACGTTCGCTTGCATTCAGGCGCTCCCGCAGGCTCCGCATCTCTTTTAGTACGGCCTCACTTTCCGCCTGGTCACACAATTATAAAATCTGTGTTGACACTATCAGATGACCTGAAATGGCTCAATCCATGTTTGACCTTTGACCTTTTTCTAAACATCCTACTGACAGTCATCAGTGACAACCAACAACTACAACAACCGTGTGTATGAGGTTTCCTGTAAGTGTAGTGTCCAACCTCTTTCCTGTGGGCAGTCGTGAGCTTCTGGGTGAGAGTGGTGATAGTGTTTTGGAGCTGAATGACACTGGTGTCTCTTTGGGCCAGTGAGGTTCTGAGACCCTGGAACTCTTTAGACAGACTTCTCAGTTCGCCCTCTGTCTGTTCCAGCTTGTCCTACAAACAAATTGCACAGACGAAGGACGTAGATTAGTCGTAGAAAAGGCACATCAACGTCTCATGATTTACACTGACATGGCAGCTAGGAAGCACCTGAAGAGTCTTTCTTTCACTCTCATCTTCTTTCCTCTGCGTGCCCACCTTCTTTGCTCTCTCCTTCAGCCTGCGCACAGACGTCTTTATAAATAATAACACAAGATAAGATCAAAAGTAGAAGAAAAAGGTGGAGAAATCTCAGACCTTTCCATCTCGGTCTCCCTCTCCACGCTTCTCAGAGTCAGGGTTTTGATGTCCTCCTCCAGCTCTTTGATTCTCACCTCACTTTTCTCTCTCACCTCGAATAAAGCCCTTTGCTCTTGGAGCAGTGATTCTCTCAGAAATTGCTCCTCCTAATAAAGCACAGACATTTTGAAATGTTATGCTAAATGCTAATGTGTTGTAGATTAAACCACTTTAATAAGAAGCTGTTTTAATGAAATGCATCAGACATATCTTTCAATTGAGACATAAGATTTAACAGTGAACCAGTGAGAGTAATGTTGAGCAGAGAGAGAGGGCCATGTATGGACAGGTGACAGTCATTTAGTGTTGCTCTATAACCACCTTCTGTTGTATTTGCCTCTCCTTGATCTTCTCTAGACTGTGCTCCAGCTCCTCCTGCAGCAGCAGGATGTCACTTTCCAACTCCTTGCGTCTCCTGTCCCAGGATTCTTTTATCTTGTTGTGCTCCTCACGTTCTCTCCTTCTGTGCTTCTGTTCCACTTCCTGCACCTGGAGCAGCTCTGCTCGCTCTTGAAGACACTCCTGCAGTCGACTCTGATAAAGAGATGTCAGTAGCAGCCAGTGGTAAGAGAAAAACTAATTGGGGTTTAACTAAAAAAAACAATGGGTCACTTTATTAGGTACAACTTTGCAACATTTTTTCAAAGTAAATATAGTATCTATCTAGCCAATTATACAGCAGTGATATGCCTTTAGTCAAGTAGACGTGTTCAAGATGGATGAAACTAAAAGCAAAGAATACAGTGAGAACACAAAGTGACTGAGGCATTCGTTACATGGCCTAATGGTAGGTGCCAGACTGAGCAGTGTTTTCCATTATTTAGAGAAAAATCATCCTTATTTCTTGTGCTCACCTGCAGCAGGTCAGCCCTGGGTATCACCAGCAGCATGCCTGTACCTTCCTCCTCTTCATGGAGATCCTCCTCTAGAGTCACCAGTTCATCAAGCGGTTTTGGAGCACAGAAGGTAAATTTGGAGCTGCAGGAGCAGACTTCACCTTTTCCATCAATGTATACAAACTCATACTCCTGGGAGCTGGGCTTTGGTAGGTAGGAGGCTAGGAAATTGTAAAAATACAAAGAGAGAGAGAGGGGTGGGTGGGTGGGTATTAATACCAGAGAAATGTACAATTCAATTTCATTTCCAAAGTAACAATTAAGAATACTATTTTGTCTTGAATCGTAAACGTGTATCCAACCCTTGAGAACAGCTACAAAATAGTTCTTCCCATGGGTCACGCCCCATTACTCCATAAAATTTAATGGAAATTGGTCGAGACCAATTCTGCTAATTGACATACAGAAAGATGACTGCACAGTAAACACTGCCCAGGAAGCACTGCTCAGCTTTCAGTAATGAGAGAATCGTTCCAAAATTTAGAATGTAATCAAACTTACAAAGTAGCGTAAGAAGAAATCTTTCACGTCGGATTTTTGTTATATATAGCACTGTATAAAACTCTTTTATATATATACATTTTATACAATTAATAAAAAGTGCCAATTACAGATATTTAAAAAACATACAACAATTGAAAACAAGCTTTAAAAATAATTTTGTTACATTAAAAAAGTACATCCTAATACAATTTCCGGTTTTGGAGCTAAGCTGCAGCTGAGTGCTATAAATACAGCTTCCGGTCACTAGAGGTCCAGAAATCTGCGTGAAAGTACGTCTGTTTTTAACTGCCGTGGCACAAATGCAAAACCGCGACAATTTTAAAAGTTTCTACGTCAACTGGATCCTTAGACCTGCTCCGTTGTGTGAGTACCGCTCTTTGTGCTAAAAGTTATTCCCAAATTGTCATGTCAGCTGTACGCTGATAATGGACGAACTATGCATAATTTAGCATAGAGACGAAGTGAAGCAGGTGAAACGAGTTACGTGACTTCATACTAACTGACAAAAACAAAGGAAAATGTATAAAACCTTGAGTAATAAAACTTTACTGTGTGGACTTAAAACAACGTCCATCGTGTATTGCGGGCCATTGTCACTTGGTTAGCACCTGGAGGCTAAGCCAACACTTTTTATCGTGTATACACAGACAATGAAAAGACATTTTGTGATGGAAGGAAAATGTTTCCGGGCAATTTCATAAAACTTTGTTGGTATGAAAATGTGTGTTTTGCACACCCTTCTTTTAAAGGTCACGCCAAGTTTAATGGCCCCTCGTCATTATTTGACCCAATACAGATATTTTAAGGGTATTTTGCAGTCAATCTCAAATATCTCTCTTGAAATTTAGGTGAGCCTAAATACAGATATTTTATATCTCTCTTGAAATTTAGGTGAGCCTGTCATTATATATAAAACAAATGAGCGAAAGCTTACGTTGTAGCCGTTTTCTGACCGGTAAGAGAGCAAAGCAACACCGCAGACAGCAACGCAAGGATTAAAGAGGAGAGGACCCACAATAGTAAGTTTTACATTTCTTTGTTACAGAATATAATTTTAAGTATGTGTAAGGGTTAAATAGTTGTGGAAAAGAGGGTATATATAAAACCTTTAATTGATATTGAATGAGGTCTATAAGTTACAACTGTGGCCCCTACTATTCACGTGATGTGGGACAGCTGTAACGGACTTGACCATAAGTATCTGTCAAGAGGTAACTTCCTAAGAATAGTAGGTACATGGATGTCTCAGAAGCTAAATGTTTTAGTTTAGGATGTTAATAGTTTTGGTATATTTCAAACCAATGAAATCTGTTGACCCTACAAGATTACAAAACAGTAGTTTGTTTTGATTGACAATGTATACGATTTTACCTCATTTTAATATTTGTCTTGTATTGGATTTCTGTTTTGGTACTTTGTGTACAGCCCACTGTGATATAATTTTAAATGTTTGTCATTTTTTATTTCAGGTGCTAATTTTCCATTACTTGGCTTGGTAACAAAGACTCTGGACCAAAGCATTGAGGTTGTTTATAATTTTTATCAAATGTAGGTAATTTTTAATTGCTCTTGTATTATCTTAACTTTAATTTTATGTTAAGAATCTATTCCATATTCAAATTAATAACTGCACATGCTGCTGTACTGATCTTTCAACTGACAAATAAAATCTACACAAAGTTCAGGTTGTTTTGAGAATTTTTTTTTTTTAACAGACTTTTCAACATAAATCCTTATTCTGTGTAACTTGTTATATCACAGAAATGGCCATTTATGATTTTACACAGAACATGTAAGTCCATTGTTTTTTTACAATAGTGTCAAAATGTATTCTCATAAATAAATGTTTGAAATTGTCCATTGTCAAAACGTATTCTCATAAATAAATGTTTGAAATTGTTTTTATGTGAGTCCAACTAAGAACAGAAGCTTCTATGCCTTGGCAAATTGATTGATGGCTTTGTGGACTATAAGCCGTACAACTAAATCTACTTTTTAATCGTAGAATAGTCTTGTGACTGACTGACTTCCCATTCATTTTTACTAGTGTTTATCTTCTATCATGTCTCTCATTGTAACTTGTGTCTTGGAGAACCCACTCTGACGTGAGAACAGCCAGCCACAGTTCATGACATTACCCAGCCCATAAAGTCAACTAATCTAATATTATTGCGTTCTAGCAGAGACAGTGGCTTCATGGGTGGTATGATTTAAGTACAAATTTCTGCTTTACATGTGCAGTAAAGGGGTATGATTGAAAAACACAGAGACAATGACATGCCACAAAGTTTATGAGCTGTATTGTAACTTCCTATCAAAATGGGTCATGGTGCAGGCAATCGTCTTTTTAATTCAGTGCATCACCAGTGATAAGGTAGCATCAACTTTTTTTACACTGCTATTCATCCAGTGTGGAATGACACTGACACTATGCTTTGGTTAGTGATAAATCTTTTCACCAGAGGTCAGTGCCACACTTGCCCCTCACACTGAATCAGCCTTATCAGTAGCCACTGACAGTCAGAACAGTTTTAGTGCTGCACATGCCAGTGAGTAGTGTTAGCCAGTGCAGGCCTTTTTTTTGTGTTCAAAATGCATGAAAAAACATAACACTTTTTTGAAGCTGACATTGCACAACAGAGCTGTTAAATTTACAGAAATGTCAATTCCACTGCTGAAAGTTTTATGTGCAGATCTAACCACTGTACTGTATAGATTTTGTCTAACTTTGGGGAATAAAGCACAGGAATAAAATGAGAGCAAAGGTACCATGGAAGTGGACACAACAGTTGACATCTGTGCCCTCTTCATAGTCAGCAGGGGCTAGTGCCCAAACAAAGGTGTGGTAGTCCTTAACAGACGACCATCCTGTCTGTGGAAGAAAGCATAACCAGAATGTTATTTTATAGTTGGTTGAAAATGTGCTATGACTGTCAAAACTATTGGATTTGAAGAAAGATTAATTTATGTTGAAACTTTAGACATTAGATACACAAGATATTTGATGTAATGCTTCAGGTGTTTGGTAGTCATTAATAATCAGAACTTTTTTTATGCCCTTAAAAATGCCAGGGCTTAGGCTTGAATGAGGCTTCATTTCATGTTTTTGTGTAAAAGTAAACATTTATTTTCTGCAAATGTTCTTACAATAAAACAGATTTTAAAAAAGTGACATTTTATGGAGTGCAACTGAGTAATAAATGGTTCAGTTAATTAATGTGCACCCTGGTGCATTATGGTTTAATACTGGAGCCAGGAATTGGGTACACCGTTGGCTGCAGATCTTAAGTCACAAATTACTTCAATTTGTGAGTCTTGGAATGCAAATCCTGAACCCCATCACATTGCATATGCCTTTATAATTTATATACCTATACCAGAGGTGGGCACCAGTTACATTTTTAATTGATTAAATGTACGTTTCTCTGTGATTAACCTTTTAAACTGAGAAGGTGATTTTTAAGATAATTTCTGGCAACCAGTGTGTATTTCATTTGAATAAACGCACAGAGAATCTTGTCTCTCTAATAAATTAATGTTACTTTACATTAAATTTACTTTTAAAATGAGTACCTTTTCATTTTCCTGAAGAGTATAGTTATGTTATGTTATGGTTTGTGAGGTTTGTTGTTGCCCCAGTGTGTGGGGGGTGTTCATGAATAGCGAGATTTGTACAGAACTCCCGTTCATCTTGAAATTATGAGATTGTATTGTACTATTGTATGTAAGTTGTGTGTTAAGTTGCGTAATGGTGTGGAAGGTTTTGTAAACAGGACTTTAACCCTTAAATTTAAATGTCTGCGCTCTGCTTTAAATATTTTAACCCTTAAATTTAAATGTCTGTACTCTGCTTTAAATAATGTACAAAATAGTGACACTTTGATTTAATGTAAAATAGTGTGTTAAAATAGTGACACTTTGATTTCACCCTTGTACAATGTACAAAATAGTGACACTTTGATTTCACCCTTTTTTAATATTGGAGACAAAGGTCATCAGTTGTTACCTTGAAGAGTCCTATCCAGTCGTTGCTGGCCCAGTTGTGCTGAGAGCTTACTGTGTAGTGGCAATCAACTCTGCTCTGAGGGAAGTAACTGCAGCCAACGTTCCTAAACTCCACTGGCCAATCCTTATCCATGGCAACACGAAACAATGGTGGGTGCCTTCAGAGAGGGGAAAACGTTTTAGGTTTCTGTTTTTTGACCCTCAGATGCTTACACGGAAACTGACTTGCATTGCAAGGTGAGCTATTTGTGAAAAAAGGAAGAGGCAACAGCTGGTGATCAGGAAGGAAAGTGCAAGCAGTTGGTGATATATATACTGCGTGTAAGACGATATTCTGACAGAGTGCACTCTTGAGGAAAGGACACCTGAACTATGGTGACAACATGGCCTCTCTGCTACATGCTACACTAAATGTTTGTCACTGGGGCTATTTTTGTCATACTCAACTATATTTACTATTTTGCAGTGTCACATGTTGGAATGCAAAACAGGGTGTCTGGGGCCACGTGTAAGGTTTAGGGTTCCACTGACAGATGCTACCCAATAGTTGAAGAATCTGTTGAGTTGTGTAAATTACAGTAATCATTACTTATTACTTAGTTGTTATGGGCATTAGGTCATAATATTAGCAAAAGCATTTACTATGGGAATATAAAACATAGATGAAGAAGATTATGGGGAGTAAATGACATAAGCAAAGAAAAATAATTTTATAACAGTAGTCATAATACAGTATACATAACTTTGAGGGATTATGTGCTATCGTTTTGTTTAAAAAAAAATCAAAGGAAAACGTGGTAGAAATCGATGTATTGTACTGTAAACCTTGCAGAAACAACCTGTGGCCGACATGCAGCTTACTGTACACATGAGCTTCTCATGGCTTCAGATTACCGAGGCTTGAGGCCCTACAGAAGCACATGTCAAAGACAACAGAACTGTCTGTTTTAATGTAGTCGTGTCATTTAGGTCATTAAAAGCTGACTTGTACTAGCACTTATTTTTTTGTGTTGTCAAGCGGTATTATTGCATTTTATGCGCGTTCACGTCATGGGAGACGGTGTTGTTTATGTGAAGTACAAAAGACGTGCGCACATCATCTCTGAACTCCTGCTTACCTTTTATTAGAAACGTCTCCAAGTAACCAGTCTGATCGAACCGACTCTGTAATAATGCCTGGTTTCAAAGACGATTTAAAAAAACCAACCAAGCCTCTGGTGATAACGCCACACTTTCCTCTACGGACTCATTTCCTTCACTAACCTGAAACAATAACAAAAAACATAACAGAAGCATGAGAGCCGTACTTCCTGCAATGGCTTGTGGGAGCTGTCGTTCAGCACGTCGATGACATCGGCGCTGAGTCGCTGCACTTTAAACTACAATCCCCAAGTTCAAAGTGAACAAGCGTCGGGTTGGCTAGACGTACAATAACGCCTGACGTCTGCTGTGGTTGTTCTGCCATTGGTTGTTAAAAGGCAGACTGGAAAACAGTGGCTTTATGTCGGCGTCGGAAAAAGGAACCAGGGAAAAAAAGGCTTCACTGCTGCGCGGCCCGTCTTTATGCTTTCGTTTCGGTTCCATTTTGTCATTTTCTACAATGTTCCCATAAAAACATGATCGTCATCCCTTTATGCTGCAAGAATTTAAGAAGACAGTCTTTTTTTTTAGTTACTTCTTGGAACAACCTGTAGGGTGTTTATAATACAGCTGTTCCATAAGCATCGCTAGACTCAATATGAAGTTAGATCCTAAATGTTTAATAAACTACTGAAATGCCGAAAATAAGTAGAAACTGAACTTAAAGGAATACATAAATAATATCGACTATATATGTTTAAGACATTTGGCTGTTTTTTTGTATTGTATTGTCAGACGATGCTTAAACGTTATTATTAAATCTTTTAAAGGTGGCCTAAGAAGGAAAGTGATTTCGAAGTGATGTATTTGGAATGAACTGCGGGACAATTCCTTATCGATGGAGAACGGTCCCACCTTCCGGTACTCATGAGCCAGCATGATGTTGTTAGTGATTGACAGCAGATGGCAGTATACCATCTTGAAAACCTAGGTGCTTTGCATTCAAGGGTTGTCTCGTGAATATGATGAGAAGAAAGCTCAAAAACACAGATTTTTGTATTTCAGCTTACTGAGGAGTTCCTATGGTCTTGTGTGATAATCTCAGCCTAGCTGCACACTATAAGGGAGGTGGTAAAGCAAACACGTTTTTAATTATGCTGAAACATTAAATCCTAAAGTTGGACATTAAAATTGCTCATGTTTGACATCCCATCCCATGGCACTCTACTATAATTAGGCCCATACTGTGGAAAATATTACAACACAGTAGCAAAGCATCTAGAAGGAAATACCACAATGAGCATGGATCATAGTTGACAAGTATTTCTGACATTTTAGCCAATTCTGTTGGTGTTTAACCTGTCTTATGGTTATTTTGCAGTTAGTATTGATGTTCCTTCTAGCCTATCAGCTGCATTTTATCTCTCCCTATTGATGAGACAGTCTAGTCACACAGTACTTTACCCCACCTCAATTAGCAAGTCCAGTTTGGCTAATTTAGTCTACTGAAGACACTATAAGGATGCATCATGTAATTTTATGTCGACGGACAGTCGATGTTTAGACTCTATAAATTGTGTTTAAGTGGATTAATAGTGTGCTGAGCTTGTGTGAGCAAATTGGTGCTGAAAAGTAGTGACTCTCAGTGCAGTTGGATAATTGAACAGAATGGAGTGCACTGATGAGATTTTCAGAAGTGGTTTCACATTTCAGGATTGGAAATAAAAAAATTTAAGGTGTAAATCTGTAATTTTTTAATGTATACGAAGATTACAATGACTTGAAAAAATACTTTAGCTTGTGAAAGTGCATGTAATTATTTAAGATGTAAATTCATATTTTTTAAATGTAAACAAGATTACAATGACTATTGAAAAAAGACTTTAGCTTGTGAAAGTGCATGTAATTGTGCATAAGATTCATATAATTGATATTATGTTAACTATTTACATTCCAAAGTTTAACTCTCTGTCTCTAACTGATGTGCCGTCTTTATTGCATTGTTTGAAAAGGCTGTGGCAGAGCCTCAGATAGCCTTGACTTTGACGTGTCACTGCAGTGCAAAGTTAGAAGATGACGGTGCAGAAGGAATGTGAGGCTTCACACTAATAGAGACTAGACGGAAAGTGGATTGTCCATGAAACTGCTTGATCTTGACCTGGCTGCCTGCTGTTATGGCTCCTCTGTCTGTCATAACAACCTAGCCCCTCCCCCAAAACACACAGGCTCTGTACACGCACAAACATGCACACACACACACACACACACACAAACCACCTTACATTACATTTTTTGTTTAGGTGTAAACTGCATGACTATATACACTTGAGGCTTTAGGTGTGAAAAACAACACTGCAGAGAAGCAGCGTGAAAAGTGTGCTGTGTATTTATTGGTGGTGGAACTATTCCACACAATTGTAATCCCTGTCGTCTGCTGATTTCTAGCAGCCTGGCTTGGAATTCCTTTCAATATAAGAAAATGGTATAGCCCCTGAGTGCTACTGCAGTTTTATTACCTGAGGTGGTCTGCCTGAATATAGCTTACCACATGTCTCATTCAAAGGGAATGGCAGGTATGTGTCACTAGTCATAAATTGCAGCTTGCCTTCAGCAGTAATCAGTTGCCAAGGAAACCTCAAATGGGATTATGACCTTCTGCCGTGTAAAGGCAAGTGAAATGTTGGAGTTGTCAACATGCAAGAGACAAACATTTTTAAGATGTTGGTAAATAATTGATTCTCTCATTATTCCAAATGAATGTGTGATTTGTCTGTCTGAGAGTTTTGGAATGCAATAAAATATAGTTACTCAGCCAGAATCTAATTTAAAACATTGCCAACAGGTAATTTACATGTAATTAGGTTAAATATTGCTCATCCGTAAGGGATATTTGTCAGTGGTAAGGTAATCAACAGCTGTGACAGTGTACTGAATGGAATGAGTAGAAAGGAGGAAAACAAAGACAGAAGGAGGGAGCTAAGAACACAGCGCTGCCTGGAAGGAGGGCAGAGCTTCTAGAAGGGTGGAGATAGAGAAATGGGGGACGGTAGTATTTAGTATGCACGACCAAGCTGCCCCATCTGCTTAGCGCAGCAGTCCCTGTCGTATAACTGTCTACAGGCCGTGGGCCACATAAAGAATGTCTCAGATTTGATGTAATTCCGCAAAATTAATGACAGCTTTACTCAGTGTAGGCCGTGAGGGAATGATTAGTGTTTGATCGTCCATCTGATCAGTTCCCTTGGTTGGCTGCAGGGAGATGCTCCACTACATACCCGCATGTTGCCTATAGCAATCACACACCTACACTGTTAAACCCATACCTTTCATTACCTCTGCGTCCTGGTGATGTTGGAAATCTCACTTCCTGTTTTGAAAAACAAACAGATAAAACATTCTTGCAAACTCTGTTCTGTGACACATCACACTAAAATAAACACCTATTGATGGAAGGGATGCTGGTCCCTCTGGTGATGTCATGGTGCATGGTGTCTTTTATATCAATCTGTGCAGTATTTCAAAGGAAAGTGGGCCAACCAGCATCCAATTTAGAGAACTCAGAGGTCACACAATGACCTTTTACTAGACAGGCTTTACAGCACTTCTGATTGGAATTGGGTATTAGTTTTTAAAAGAGATGTGGAATGGATTGGAAATCTAAGAGAAGAAATTGATCCACTGAATGGATTGCAAGTGGAATTCCTCTCCGTTTAATCCCACCCCGATCAGCTGGCCCAACCCCCACCTCATCCTCCTGGGCCACAGCGTTTACAAGCGAATGGGGCATTCTGTTTTACAAGTGAGCCCGGTGCGTCCCTGTGTGCTAGCAACATTAAAATTGAACCCGTCTTATCTGTGCAAAGCGCGAGGCTTTATATCAGTGGCTGTCATGTCCCTGCCATGAGGCTCCTGTGTGCTTTTATGTAATGTGGTGCAGTCAAAAGCTGAATGGACAATTAAAGTGAGGTGATAGACAAACAAGTTATTGAAGGCAGCAGTGCTGGTTTGTGATTTTCAAGGCAGAGTTGGGTTATGACAAAATGATTGCAAAATGTTTTACTATTGCTAACAAGGCCAAGTCCAACACATGACATGCAGTTTGTAGCCAAGTCAAGATCATCATCAGTTAGAGGCACTATGATTGAGTGACAAAATGCAGTTTCTCTGGCCATTAGTACTCTGGTCCAGTATCAAACACAGGGTTGTCCAGTTTAGAAGAGGCTTAGGGAGAGTTGTGTTTCTGCCAACACAGATTGCTGGACAGATTGGCAATCTTTCACTGAGTATGGCTGACTGTTTTTCCCTGAAATTGTGGGCCATTATAACAAATTACTTCCAAATACAGCAATAAAGTAAACAAAAATCCTCTTGCATCTGCTTCAGTACTTGGCCTGTCCAGATTAAATTCCAACTCTTATTCCTTGTTGGGTTTTCTATTTTCTTTTTCTTTTTTAACTTCTTTCCATAACAGTGTCTTTTCACACAAACATGTTTATTTCTGCCATCCGCTTTCCTACACTACTGGCATCCTCTGATGCCCTTTAATTTTTTTCTTTCTCTATATATCCACCCTCATTGATTTTTTTATTTTTTTTTTCCTTGCTCATTTTATTTTTTTTGGCTGATCTTAAGACCTTTCTTGGCGCAGTGACCTTTCAGGTTTTAAATTAAACCCCACTGCGGCATGTCTCTCTTCATATACCGCCAGTTACGAGCCTTTGGAGAACTGCAAAAATATAACGATTCTGATGAAATGGGACCTTTCATAAAGCTCTTCCAAATTTCTTTTACATTTTTCTTACCCCTCTCCCATCACATTAGTATTCACTCATGAACCACATCCTAAAGAGCAGATCATGGAAAATGTGAGATGAGATGCATGCACATGCCTCGGGACATGCACATCATGTGAATGCACACAGTGTTGCTCATGGCTAATGGCTTCTAATCAAATGCCATGTATGTTTGAGGTGATTTATGGAACATGCACAAATTATGCTTGCAAAAAGATCGTTTAATCAGAAGGAGACAGTTTTTCAATGATAACTTCGTTTGTGGCCTTTTACAGGAGATCATTTCTCTTTGCATTTTTACATCAAATGATTAATAAGATAAGACCTTATCTAATAGACTTATAATAAATTGTATTTATTTGCTAGATCATCTTTTCTACCCTGATGTCATGTCGTCACCTGGTAGTTGTACATTTCTGCCAATGCGTAACATGTGTTCAGAATTTCACAGTATGATTTCGTCAGGTCGGCACTTGGGGAAAAGTGATTAACATTAAAAAACCTGCTCTTGAGGT